CGCCACCCACTCTTTTGCCACGTCCTGTTTTGGTGCTTTTGGATTTTAATTTATTTCTGCACAAAAAACACACTCAGGCTACGAAGGAAGCTACGACCAAGCACCAATCGCTACTGTGGAATTCGAAGGCACTGAAAGGACCAACAGCACACACACCGCTCACACACATATTTATATGCACTCACGTGTTGCTGCAGTGAAGGCACCCCGCACACACAACCGTCGCCGCATGACCGGATCCAGCGGAAGGAGGAGGGAAGTAAGAGAGAGTGAGCGGCAGAGGCCCAACATTTCCCGGCATCTCTTCTATTCCGCGGTGCTCCTCCCCCTCTTTTTCGTGATGATGTGCTGCGGCAGTGATGGAGCTGCGCCCCCTGGTGAGGCGTCATCCCCGGAATGTTGAAAGGGTAAAAGTTTTGTTTGGAGAGATGAGAAAGGTGGAGAAACAGTGAGCTCGCTCCGTGTTCCCAGTCTTTTGAAAGTGGGGAGTGATTTGTTTGCCGTTGCGGAGGCGCATTGCACAAAGGAGGGTGAAGGTGATTTTACTGGGATTGCCTCGAAGCTCCTGGCGTTGACTGATGAACAAGCAAGCAAGGAGTTGGACACAACTGAATTGAAGACACAAGTACTGGAGGAATGTTCTTCCGATGAGAAATGCGCCTGCCGTATAGCGGATCAGGTTGATTCCCAAAGCCAGACGACAGTATATGTGAGCCGACCAACAACAGTCGTGAATGGAAGTGATATTTACATGCTTGCTGGAAATTACAGTTTTGAAGGTGCCTCTGATGATCGGGCAGGTGGCTGGGGACTCATGCTGGTGAAAGGGAACGTCAGTAATAAGAAAGGAGAAAATAACGGAATTTACTGGAATGACACTTACGTTATCCCGTGGAGTTATAAAGTCAAACAACACGAATCTTTGATGCGGCTGATTGGCAGCGGTGGATCGGGCGTTCAGATGGAGGACGGTACGCTTGTGTTCCCGCTGGAAGGGACGAGAAAGAAGAGGAACCAGGGTGATGGCAACGAAAAGGATGGAAAGGCTGTCTCGCTGATCATATACTCGAAGAATACTAAATTTTGGACGCTGTCGAAGGGGATATCTGACGGTGGCTGCGGTGTTCCCTCCGTCGTGGAGCGGGAGAAGGACAAAAAACTCATGATGATGACTGCGTGTGATGATGGCCGCCGCAGGGTGTACGAGTCCGGTGACAAGGGGGAGTCGTGGACGGAGGCGCTCGGGACACTCTCGCGCGTGTGGGGCAACGAAAAGGGAAATGAGAAGGGCGTTAGAAGCGGGTTCATCACAGCGAAGATTGATGACAGGGACGTGATGCTCGTAACTCTGCCGGTGTATTCGAGTAAGGACGGCAATGGAAAGGGCGTACTTCATCTTTGGCTGACGGACAACACGCACATTGTTGATATTGGGCCGGTATCCGATGATGACGAAGTTACCGCCAGCTCCCTGTTGTACAAAAGTGGAAATGGTGATAATAAGAAGGAGGAGTTGTTTGCGCTGTACGAGAAGAAGGGCGTTGAGGAAACACCATCCGGTATGGTCTCCGTGCGTCTGACTGAGCAGCTGGAGAAGGTGAAGGAGGTGCTGGCGACGTGGAAGAAAGCGGAGGAACGTGTCTCTCAGCTGTGCATCACTTCAAGTTCTCAGAAGAGTGCCTCAACTGACAATGCCTGCAGCCCTACTGTTAAGATCACGGATGGGCTGGTTGGCTTTTTGTCCGGCAACTTCTCTGATAAGACATGGAGGAACGAGTACCTCGGGGTGAACGCCACAGTAAAGGGGAATGATGGGGCAACAGAGGCTTCCGATGGCGTGACGTTCCGGGGAGCGTGGGCGGAGTGGCCTGTTGGCAGGCAGGGGGAGAATCAGCTGTACCACTTTGCGAACTACAACTTCACTCTTGTGGCGACGGTGTCTGTTGACAATGTGCTGGAGGGAGATAACCCCATTCCGTTGCTGGGCGTGAAGATGAATAACGATGGAAATCCTTTACTCCTGGGACTGTCGTACGGCAAGGAAAGGAAGTGGCAGCTGCTGTGCGGTGACGAAAACCCTAAGGAGCTCAGCAGCACTTTGGGGACAGAGACAACTCAACACGTTGTAATTTTGCGACGGAACGGCACCCAGGGCACCGCGTACGTCGATGGTCAGCGTGTGGGGGATGTGCCGTGTGTATTGGGGAATGGCGATTCGAAAGAGATATCGCACTTCTACATTGGAGGGGATGGAGGCAACGCGGACGACAAGAAAAGCCGTGAATTCGTGTCTGTGACTGTGACGAACGTCCTGCAGTACAACCGTCCATTGAGTTCCGCAGAGATTACTGCGCTTAACAAGAACAAACCTTCTACTCCAAGGACAGTGGCTGATGGGAAAGAATTGGTGGTGGTTGCTTCTCCACCAGGGGTAAGTGTACCAGCTCCACGTGGAACCGTGCCTCAGTCTGCTCTTGGAGGAAATCAGCCGATGGCACAGGAATTGTTGAAAGAAGGTACGGACGGTGGTGGTGCATCCACAACAGCATTGTCCACCGTAACGACTTCCCCAGCAGGCAAGGAGTCCGTAGACCTGTTGGCATCAGGAACATCTCCCGGTGGAACTCAAGCTGTGGATGGGGTCTCCTCGTCTGATGGCAACCAGACGGTGGACACAGCAGATGGAGGTAAAACGCAGGAAGATGAACCACATAAAACTCCTGCGGATAATGCAAACGCAGCAGATGCAAAAGCGCCTAACTCTGAGGGTGGGTTGCAAGATGGATTCGCAGTGGGACCTGAGAGGACCTCTGGTGAGGATGGGGAGACGGCGAGAGGAACGGATGGGTAGGAGGAGAAAGGGATCCAGCCACGGATCAGGGAGGTAAATGCCACGGCGCTCAGCAGCAGTCTCGGAAATGTGTCGCAGGGGAATAACAGCGATGCCGGCACCGTGCGTGGGAGCGGACTGCTGCCATCGCTTCTGTTGGGACTGTGGGAGTTTGCGGCTCTGTGAGGAGTGACTGGCTGCCGCGTGGGACACTTGCGGCCTCCGCTGCACCGACACACACACACACCTGGCAATGAATATCTCTTCTCAAATAACTCTTATTTACTTTTTTCCCTGTTTGCTTTTTTGTGTGTTTTAAAGTTTTTTTTTTTGCTTTTTCTAAATGTTTTTCTTTTTTTCAAAATTCTTTTATTATTATTATTATTATTATTATTCTCTTCCCTATTCTCTTTTGCTTTTGGGGCAATCACTATTGAATTTCTTTTTCTTTTCTACTCTTCCCTCTTTAATTGTTGGTTGCTGCACTCTTCCTGCGAGGGGTGCCGTGTGTTTCCGCCCAACTGCTCCACTCGCACACCACCGACACGCTCATGACGACGGCCCTGTGCGCCTCGCCTGCTGCACGCATGAGGAGGGGCCGCGACGAACGGCGCGCTGAGGGAGCCGTGACGTGTGGGCGTGCGACGAGGGCCTGTGGGGCGGAGCACACATTTCTTCCCTCTTGTTTTGTTTTCGTTGCGGCCAGGGCGGGCAGACACCCGCAGCGCCACACACACAGCCACACCCTGCCGCCGTGTTTTTCTTTAAGGATTTGTTTTGCTTTGCGTGTTTATTTCATGCGGTGGCGCACCCTTCGGTGTCGGCCTCGTGAGCATTTCTCTCCCCTCCGATGATTTCTTTTTCTTTTGCTGCGCTCACTCTCCCGATGGAGTGACGCGACTGCCGTCATGTCTGCGTGCTTCTCTCAGTCCCCACACACACGAGTGACTGTGCTCTGCGGGCCGCACTCACGCGCCGATGAGAGGGCTGAGGGGAGCAGCAACACGCGGATGACCCCATGAAATATAAACGATGTGCGGACACATGGAGGGTCGGACGGTCGAAGCACACGCAACCATCTTTTTAATTTTCTTTTGTGGGCAAAATACATACAGACAGTTTGGTGTGGCCACACGGCAGCCAGGCGATTTTTTTCTTATTTTAAATTTGTTTGGAGCAGTAATGGACGATTTCTTTTCATTTATAATTATTTTGTGTGATGGGGTTTACATAAGACGAAGGGGACGTTTTTTGTTTTCAGTAAATATTGTGTGAATTGCCGCTGCATGGGCTGCAGTGCAGTCATGAGTTTGAGCGGTCTTCTTGTTGTTGTTTCCGTTATGCATCCCCGCTGTACATTTTTGTGCGTCCCTCCGCATACTCTGCTCCCTCTTTTCCACTTCTTTGCTTTGTGTTGCTGCAGGCACACACAACCACACACACACAAGATGCACATTGCAGTGGATTTGGATGCACCTTTTGTAGTGCATGCTGGCAGTTGCGTGTGGCGGCTGTTGTCTTCTTCCGTGGCCATGAGGAGGGGAGAGAGGGGCGCGGACCCCGAGACTATTTTCCTGCGGGTGTGATGCACCGCGTGTGACTGCGCCGATTTGGGCTCCGTGTCCCATTGATGGCGGGATGGCAGGAAGTTTTGTGCCGCCTCGTGGATGGATGAGGGTTCGCTTGCTCCGTGTGCGTTGTGTGGTGGCCGCGGTTTTGGCCATTTCCCTGGGGCTGCGGGAATGAGCTGGGGGAGATGGTGGTGGATGTCTTCTCCTCCTGCATGGTGGGTGGCTGCTGGCGTTGTGTGCCTTCCTTGCGTGGATGCCGTCTCGTGGTGTGTGAAGTGTGCGGCTGGGCCTGCTGCCCTCTCCTCATGTTGTCTGCTCCCTCGCTGTATCCGCTGTGCCCCGTCCCTCTCCCTCTCGTTCCATTCTTTTCCTTTCCGTCTCACCGATCAGCTGACTGACACCAGCGACTCCACTACGGGCGATGATGACTGCGACGGTGACGGTGTGCGCCGTGCTGGTCCTTGCGCTCTTGTGCTGCTGCTGCTCGTCCGTGTGTGTGACGGCGGCAGGGGACAATAATAACGATAACAGCCGTCCTCCCAGCCCTGAGCTAGGGAAACCGGATCCTACAAAAATATGCCTGGTGCATTACAGCCATATGGTGGAGAGACCGGTGGGCCACAGACAGAGAGTGGGAGAGACAGCGAGGAGGGTTTGAGAAGTCCCGGACCTTCGTTGCCAAAGGAAGCAGGCACAGCCATCACTGGACAGACACGAGTTCCGCCAGAGTCACTGAGTTCGGCTAGCGATAATCCAGAGCCAGCAGGTTTGGCAACTCAGTCTCCACACACACAAGGTGCGACCGGTATGTCAGATGCACAAAATAAAAGGCGCAGTAAAATACACAAGGTGGTGAGAATCATAAGGCACAGAT